GCAACGGGTACCGACAGGAGGCCCATCGCGCGGCGAGAAGGCAGAGACGCAGACGGGTCAGCGGACGAGTCGCAGCGCGTACTGTAGCGATTTGGCGTCAAGTTAAATAGAATGTACCATAGTACGTCCCACATCGCACAATACGCGCTGCGACTCGTCCGCTGACCGTCTGCGTCTCTGCCTTCTCGCCGCGCGAAGAGCCTCCTCCTACGCAACACCTCTCTTCACCATACAGAGACATTCCGCAAGAGAATTCTAAGGACTCACCTAAAATCAGCCTTACACTCTCGACACTGGCTTTAGAGGCTGCATAGTGTAGGGGTCCACGTCCTCGTTTGTCTTGCGCCAAACCGAACACATCGTCCGTAGCGCTGACCGCGTCGATGAACATCTACGAAATTCAAAGGTAACTTGAGCAGTTTTCAACCATCAAACTATTTAGCCAACAGTTTTTCATAGAAATTCAATTAAATTCAAAAAGTAAAAATTGAGAAGAAGTAACAACCTGAAGTATTTTACCATTACCACATGCAGCAATGTGTATTGGTGTGACGCCATCCTTGTCAGCGACCAGGAACGGTGCCAAACCTTGCGGTGACTTTCCCGCTTGCAGGATGAATCGCACAACCTGAACCATTGAGCAATAAAATGATCATCACGCTTTGAATGGAAGCATTTCTAGCCGAGGCGTTGCCTGCCGTTTAGAAGCGGCTTCGGATTAGCCTGCACACCTCACGCTACTCCGGACTACCCGCCCAAAAAGCAGCGCAAAACGTGGCCTCAAAAGTGAGCCTTTGTCCCTAGAGAAGAGGACAAGGCAAGTCATAGAATGGAGATGTAAAACTACAACATGGGGCTCTGCTAAGCCAGTTTAAGGACAAAAGGAAACGAACCTTAGCTGCACAACACTGCGTGGCCCAATGTAATGTTGTCGCACCACCGTTGTCAGTGTCCCATAGAGATAGGCCTTTTCTGAAACGAAGAGAGATGTCTGTCCTGGAAAACGTTCTGAAAGCAAGGGGTCTTAAGCCATAAGGTTTTAGGAAGAAGGTATCTCATGTTTAGCGTTACTGGGGCCAAACTGCTAACTCAATGTTAAATTTAGTCCCATTGTGGTGTTGTAGTCCCGCCTAAGCTAACTCAATATTAAATTTAGTCCCATTGTGGTGTTGTAGTCCCGCTATCATAACGAATGTGATTTGTTTGGTGTCCCTCACACCTTCTTGTCCTACAGAAATGAGCTCTGAATCAAAAGCTCATCGCATCCCCGAAACGTCCCGCTTTGAAATACCAGGTCATTCGTCTTAAATAGCGGCACTGCTGCAAGATACGGTGGCATTACAGTGGCAGTGGGTTCAAAACCGTGTGAAGCATCTCCCTTTGTTTTGTAGAATTCAGAGGCTAAGTTTTGAGCAGAGGAGGGAGGCTGCAGTATAAATGGACGTTTTTAATTTTACTCAAATTCTTCTGAGCATGGCCCTAGCGGATGCCCCCGCATCTTGCGATAGTACCTAAATAGCTTGATCTCTAGAACTAGATCAGAGGAAGATGGGTCAGCTTTTGAGTGAAACCCGCAGTTTCACTTTCTTCGGCAGGAATATCTCCTTCAAAAATCTGTCACCAATCGTGTGAAGAACCTAGGGAAACAGTATCTATCAGCCTGCCGTCCAGAAATGTTGACCTCTCGCGTGTCAACGAGAATGGGAGCAGTTGTGCCATAAACTAGGTTTAAGTAAAGGAGTAGCATTGGAAGAAGGACAAGATGGACTACGGCGTGAGCAACCAATGAGGAACGTTGAAGGGCAGGCAGAGGCTTCCCCCATTGGACGGCCATGCTAAACCCGAGCTTAACCTTCTTACACCCCAGCTCATTCAACATTTTCGGGAACCTTCGTACCTCATCAGAAACTGAAGATTACGGACGTTGTCAGCGATTGCAGCATGCATCGCCGCAGTTCTGCCGCGATTGTCGCGATGAGTGATCCATTCACGATGTTTCTTCACTAGTCGCTCCATATCTGCCTAAACATGGAGATTCACACCTTGGACATTCCCTCAATACTGTCTTCGCTTGAAGAGTCCCTAGCTCCCCTTATCACTCAACTACCACCTTTTTACGTCAGTAACGAGGCTGGAATTCCGAGTGTTAGACTAGGAAGCGATTAAGTTCTGGGTGCTTGCAGAAGCAGTCGTGAGATGGAACTTCTGCGCAACAGCTAAAGTTTATGAGATCTTCTGATTATCACCGATTAATATTATAATAATGAGCCCTGTGGTCCTTCCAATGAGATTTTCT